AATGGTTCAACAGTTACACTAGTATTAAATCCTCACCCCAAATAGTGCACTTACTATCTGTCAACATAGAAATATGTTACAGAACCACTGATTATATTCTCCATGCTGTACTTCCATCCCTGCGACCAATTTATATTATGATTGATATTTTTGTGCCATTTCATGCCCCTCCCTGTCTTCACTCAACCCCTCCCCCTTAGTAAACACCAGTCACTTCTCAGTGTCTGTGAGTCTAATGCTATTTTGTTCATTTGTCATGTTTTGTTTTTATATTCCACATATAAGAAATCATATGGTATTTGTCTTTCTCCACCTTGCTTATTTCACTGAGCATAATATACTGTAGGTCCATCCATCCATGTTGTCACAAATGGCATATTTTCTTTCATTTTGGGTGGAATGCTCTATATATATCTGTTAAGTCATCTAATCTTGTGTGTTGTTCAGTGCCTCTCTTTCCGTATTTATTTTCTGTCTGGATGATCTGTCCATTGATGTAGGTAGCATGTTAAAGTCCCTAATATGATTGAGTTGTGGTCTATTTCTTCCTTTAGTTCTGTTAGTATATGTTTTACTTATTTAGGTGTTCCTATGTTAGGTGCATAGAAATTTATAATGGCTATATCCTCTTGTTGATCTGATTCCTTTATCATTATGGAATGTCCTTCTTTGTCTCTTGTTACTTTCTTTGTTTTGAAGTCTGTTTTGTCTGATACAAGTATTGTTATTTCTGCTTTTTTCTCTCTATTATTTGTATGAAATATCTTCATTTCAATCCCTTCACTTTCAGTCTCTGTATGTATTTAGATTTTAAATGAGTCTCTTGTAGGCAGCATACAGATGGGTCTTGTTTCTTTATCCATTCTGCCACCCTATGTCTTTAGATAGGTGCATTCAGTCTATTTACATTTAATGTAGTTATTGATAAGTATGTACTTATTGCCATTTTAAATTGTTTTTGCAGTTCCTCTCTGTTCCATTTTTGCTCTCTTATATTCTTCTCTTGTGATTTGAAGGTTTCCTTTAATGTTGTGATTTGATTTCTGTGTGTGTGTGTGTGTGATTATCTATTAGGCTTAGGTTTGTGTCCATAGGTTCATAGACAGTTTCCTAAATATAGAACAGTCTATATTAGGTTTGTGTTCACTTTATTGCGAACACAATCTTAAAGTACTTTTTATTCTTCTGCTTTATACTTTATGTATTAGATGTTAGAATCTGCATTTTTTTTGTGTATCCCTTGACCAATTTTGTGTATAGTTGATTTTTATTTTTAACTTCATACTTGCTTTGTAAATAATTTGTCTACTACCTTTACTGTGGGTTTATTTTCACTAATGAAAAATATTTAGGGTTAAGAACGTTTTCATCTATGGAGTTCCTTTAACACATCCTTCAAGAATGGTTTAGTGGTGGTGAATTCTTTTAACTTTTGTTATTCTGGGAAACTTTTAATCTCATTCAATTTTTAATGATAACCTTCCTTGGTAGAAGATTCTTGGTTGAAGTTTCCTGTTTCAGTACATTAAACATTTCATGCCACTCCCTTCTGGCCTGTAAATTTCTGCTGAGAAATCTGCTGGTTATCTTGTGGAGCTTCTCTATGGAGTTTCCCTTATAAGTTACTGACTCTCTCTTGCTGCTTTTAATACTCTCACTTTCTCTTTTATCTTTACCATTTCAATTACTCTATGTCCTGGTGTGGTCTTCCCAGGGTTCCTTTTGTTAGGGGTTGTCTGCACTTCTAGGACCTATATGTCTATTTCTTTCCCCATATTGGGGAAGTTTCCAATGATTATTTCTTCAAAGAGACTTTCTACTTCTTCGTCTCTCTCTTCTCCTGATATCTCTATTATGTGAATTCTATCCCTATTATACAGATTGTTTCATTTGGAATTGTCACATAGCTCTTAGTATCCTCTCATTTTTAGAGATTCTTTTTTCTCTCTGTTCCTCAGCTTCATTGTTTTCCTGTTCTCTAATTTCCATCTCATTGATTGTCTCCTTTACTTGCAGTAATCTATTATTCATTCCCTCTGGTGTATTTTTCACTCCAGTTATTGCATTCTTCAGTTCTGAGTGGCTCTTTTTCAAATCTCCTATCTCTCAATTGAAGTCCTCCCTGAGATTGTCGATTCTTTTTCCCTGGTCAGTGATCATATTTATGACTGTTACTTTGAAATCTTTATCAAGAAGAATCATGATCTCTATCTCCATTTACCCTATTTCTGGTGACTTATCTTGTTCTTTTGTTTGGAATATATTCCTTTCTACTCATTTTTGTCTGGGTTTCTGTTTTTCTTCCTTTGTATTAGATAGATCAGCTATGCCTCCTGGTCTAAAGAGCAATGGATTTATGAAGAAGGCATCACATGGTGCCCAGAAGCTCAAGGTTCTCTGCTCACCAGTACCTGGTTCTCCTTGAGGTGGTGCCATGGTGGCTGTTGGTGTGCTGTGGGCAGACTGACTTTCTGCCTGCCTGTGGGCAGTAGCTGATCTCTGTCATCAGTGGCTGACAGCTCCCTCCATTCCCTTTGTGAGCCCAGCAGCAGTGCTTCTGTGGGGATAATTGTGGACAGGGTTGCCCTCTGCCTGCTGGGCAGCAATGGCTCTGCTCTTAGGCCAGAAATGTTGATGCAGCAATACCCAGTACTGCCAGCCAGGGAGAAGGAGCATTTAGAGCTGGCCCCTGTAGTTGGGATGAGAGAGGGTTGGGAAAACTTGGAGAATCTTCCCTACCTGCCAGGCAGCAAAATCTTACTGTTGCTGGGCCAAGTTGCTTGCCTGATGGGCAGGAGGGTGTGCAAGGAAGTGGCTTATGACTGTGCCACCAGTGAGGGAGATGGAGCATTTGGGGCTGGCTCCTACTTGTGTGCAATCAGTTGGGCTGAAGGATATGTCATCCCCCTGCCCTTTCTCCTCCAGAGAGTGCTCCCTCCAACCCCTTCTTCTCTGGTACCCTTCCTGCTGCTGGTAAATATTTCAACTGCCACCTCTGTGTCAGGTCTCAGCAGGAACAGTGGAGCATGCCTCTCCTCTACAAGCACAAAGAGTTGTAGTTCACAGAGTGCTATAAATCTCCCTGGTATCCAGACCCGCTCATCACCAACACCCAATGCAATGTGGACTCATGTAACCAGAGAAGCTCTCCAGGTCCAGGTGTGCTTAGCCCCTTCTCCTTATGTTCCTCCTCTTTCCACTTTTGGGCTGGGATGGGGGAAAGGCTTGAGTCCTGATCAATCACAGTTCTGTTATTTTACCCTTCTCTGTGTGCTCATCTCTTCTTCACCAGGTGTAGATGGTCTTTTCTGCAGTCTTCTCGTCATTTTCAGGGTTAGCTTTTTCACTGTCATTGCTTCCCTGGTGTGTAAGTGGTACAAAGTTTCTGCCTTGGCTTCCTACTCCACAATCTTTTCCCAAGCTCCTCCTTGCCATATATGCTTTTTAAAAGAATGTAGATAATACCACATAGAAACATAAATTTTTCCATTTTCAGTTGACATTATATAATATTCACAAATAGTAATATTCCATAATATTATGATTTAAAGAAGTATATAATATGCACTTACACAATTTGAATACTTTTTGTACTCTGAATATATATGTGTCTTTTTATTAAAGGATGTGATGCAACAAATACATATGTAGAGAACACTTTTTGCACGTTTTTCTACTTTGTAACATTTTTATTGACATGAAATTCACATACTATATAATTACCTGTTTAAATCATTTAAAATTTTTCAATTGACTTTTTCGTAGTACCTTTAAATTCTGTGCAAGCATCAGCATTATAGAATTCCAGATAATCACCATTCCTCATAATTAAACTGTATAAACATTAATCTGTCATTCCATATAGCTAGCTTCTGACAACTCATTTGCTTTCTGGTTCATTGGACTTCATTTTCTGGACATTTCATATAATCATACAGCATATATCTCTTTGCATGTGTCCTTTTTTAACTTGGCAGAATGTTTACAATGTTCTTCCGTGTAACAGCATGTGGCAGTACTTCATCCTTTTTAATGCAGGAATAATAGTCCCTTTTATGGAGATGCCTCAGTGTGTTCATACATTTAGCAACTCATGGACATTTGGGTTTTGTCCATTTTGACTAAGAACAGTACTTTGAAAAACTGTGTAAAAGCTTTTCTTATTTTATCTTTTTAAGGTATTTCGGATATATAATTAGTAGTTTAATTGTTGAGTCATATGGTAACTATGTTCAACTCTGAGTAATTATCAAACTGTCTTCCATATTTCTTGTATAAATTTCCATTCCTTCCAGCAATATACAAGAACTCCAATGTAGGCATGAACTCCAACCCTTGCTTATTTTACTTAGAAGAATACTATAGCTATTTGGGGGATATAGGGAATCTTATTATGGTTTTGATTTCAATTCTCTAATGGCTATCATGATGAGCAACTTTTCCTTTATTTGTCAGCCATTGAACATCTTCTTGAGAGAAATGTCTATTCAAGTCCTTTTTCCATTAAAAAAGATATGAGGTACATGAGAAAGCAAACATAAAAATGAGAGGAGTAAGTCCTATGTTATTGGTAACTGCTTCAATGAACATGGATTGAACTCTTCACTTAAATAGGAAAGAATGACAGCTGTCTGATCTAAACTCCTCCTTCTACTTAGTCTGGATATTCTATCCAGGACAACTAGGTAAGAAAATGAAATACATGTTCCATTTGTTCTTTTCTCATATTCCTTGAGACAATGTGCATTACTGGGTTACTCTTTTAGTGAACATACTTCTGGACAAGCAAGATAACAAATACTAATTTTATTACTTTTTGTTGATTTTTTAATTTTACATGACAGCTTCCTTATAGTAGGTGAAAAGCTGCCTCCATGTCCATTTTCTTTAGTTCTTCTGACATTAGTCATGATTGGAAATATAATCTATAAATATCAGAAATTACAAATGTGAACTCCTTTTCCATATTAT